GTTTACAGCGTGCTTCTGTCTCCGCACTGTTGTCGCCCTGTTGATGACCCCAGCTACGCGGTTTCGTCGAGCGCGCTTTAGTCGAACGCGGTTTTGTGGTGGAACCGATGAGCACTGCCCCCTAGAGTCAGGAACAACTGGCACATTACCTGGTCTGGAAAGGAACCGTTACCTTTTAACAGTGATATGTAGTTGGGTGTGTAACCACTGTATGATGGGTTGTTAGGAGTTTTATTTATACGTGTGTGTGTGTGTAAAAAAACAGGAAGGGCAGGCTCCATTACGGTTATAAGTCAAGCACTGCTTGTAGTATATGTATATGCGTGCACACACACACACACACGCAAAACTAACAGCCCATCATACAGTGGTTACATAGCGCTGTACATTCCCAAATAGCAGCGTTACTGTGATACAAAAGGAGTACTAGAAAGTCCACACTGTTGTTCATCACACTTATTTCATTATATGCGTGTGCACACACACACACACATGCACACACATACAAGCAGTGCTTGAGGTATGACAGTAATGGGGCCTGCCCGTCATGGTTATTTATTTACTGTGGTTGCTAAGTGAATCCCTGGTTGTTAAGCAAAGCAGTGGTTAACTTTGGGTGTGGTTTTGCTACAGACTGGAAGTGAGTTCTGGGTTTTGATCACAACTCTGTAAAAGATGGTCACGGATGGCCATAAGTGTGGGCCAGTTGCTGAGTACCCGAAGCGCAGCCCTTGATCATGGAGGATCATACAGCTGTTGTTAAATACTCCCCAGATAGATCTGAAGGAACTTTGAAGGGTTGCTAAGGAACTGGTTGTAAATTGAGGATTCCCTGTAGCTACAGTTACACATGGCCTCTCTCTCTTAAGCACCTTCAGTTTGGTTTGGGTCAGCTTTTCTCCCGTGCTCTTTTGATGTCAATGTTGTCTTGGTTTCTGCCAGTGTCACCCGCAACTACTTGGACTGGCTGACCTCCATCCCGTGGGGCAAATGCAGTGAGGAGAACATGGAACTGGCCAGGGCCGAAGGCGTTTTGGAGGAGGATCATTACGGCATGGAGGACGTGAAGAAAAGGGTGCTGGTAAGGGCTCTGGATCTCTTCTGTTGGTTTCATATCTTGCTCCCAGTTCAACGATGCTAGACTTTTTAGAGAGCTACCCCCATTTCTTAGAAAAGCAGATTAAAATATATCATAAGGATGTGAAACTGGAGACGTCTGGTGGAGAGAATAGGCATAAGGCGGCGTTGGCAAACCTTTTCGGCAATGTGCTGAAACGGGAGCGTGCATGTGCGCCGGACACTGGAAGAGCAGCTCCCCAGCACATATGCGCACATAGGGAAGCTGAGCTTCTGGTTTTCGGTATGCAGACCAACTGGCTGGCGTACATGTGCGCACTGGAAATCAGAAGCTCAGCTCTGGGCTTCTGGCACTCCCGCATGTGCAAAGACCAACTGGTGAGTTTCATGTGGGAACCGGACGCTTTGTCGCCCTCTCCTCTTCTGGTTTACAATGCTCCCGTGTCTGCAGAGATCCGCATGCCAGAACCTGGAAGAGCAACGGGCGATGGCTGGTGTGCCTGGAGAGATGGCTCTGCATGCAACTTCTGGCACGCGTGCCATAGGTTCACCATCATGGGCATAAGATTTCAACCCCCGAAATGGCGAGCCTCCAGCGTGCCGTCTCAGGGTTGTCATATATGGGTGGGGGGGACACCCCGAGGGAGGAAGGGGACACCCTACCGATTGGGAGGGTGTGCGTATACAAGAACTGAACTCATGGAGAATGTGCGAGTGGCACGGACAGCGGAACGCAAATCCCAGCTGGAGAAGCAGAGCCGGCAGGCAGTCGGAGAAGGACGAAGCCCACAGCCGACATTTCCCAACGTCTGGAAGCAGCTGGGAAAGAGCGGGGTGTTCCAGCCCTTGAAAACCAGCTGTGGGGCGGGAGCAAGTTGTGCTGACTTAAACTTTAGTTTCCTTCATGTCGAGAGTCTAGCCCCGTGATGGGGAACCTATGGCACGTGTTGCCACAGGTGGCACAAGGAGCCATTTCTTAGGGCATGCAAGGCATTGCCCTAACAGCTCCAGCACGCATGCATGCACTGGCCAGCTGATTTTGCCCTTTATTTTTGCTCTTTGGAGGCTTCCCTGAGGCTCCGGAGGGCGAAAAATAACTCAATGCACAAACTGGAAGTTTGGGAACGGACTTTTGGTTTGGAGATTGGGGGCATTTTTTCTCCCTCGGGAGGCTTCAGGGAGATAGTTACGCTCCATAGAACCGAGTTATTAGTAACAGCATTATTGGACTGAGCCTCTGTAGGGCTTAATGGAAGTGTGAGAGAGAACATTTTATCAATGGGGAGGTTTTGGAAATGAGGCCAAAGATGAGAGCAGAGCAGCTGGAGGTTTGTTGTTCCTTATGATTCTTCATGAATGTATCTTGTCTTTTTATGTACACTGAGAGCACACTTGGCCAATAAAGAATTCTATTCTTATTCTTATTCTATTCTAATTCTATTCTATTTTATTCACATGCTCTGTTCCTTTTGCTTGTATAACCCAGGAATTCATTGCTGTCAGCCAGCTGCGAGGATCCACGCAAGGCAAGATCCTCTGTTTCTACGGCCCTCCAGGGGTTGGGAAGACCAGCATTGCCCGCTCTATTGCTCGTGCCTTGAACAGGGAGTACTTCCGCTTCAGCGTGGGCGGCATGACGGATGTGGCAGAAATCAAGGGCCACAGGTCGGTGCATCTCGGGCTTCCTTGGAGGGCTTGTCCAAAGTACTAGAGCTGTAATGCTCGGTTGGGGCAATGACTAACAAATCCATCTCTTTCTAGTCATAGCAGCTTAGCTTCTGGGTGTGCAGGGCTGTCTGCAGAGCATGGTCAAGAGCACATTTGTGATGCAGCAATTGAAGCTCTGCCATGTTCATAGATCTCCAGCTGAAAAGGTGTCTCTCACCTGTGCATGGATATTTATGTAATATAAATACTCCTGGGACCTGAATGGCAAGCAAGGAGAAGTTGACTCTGCTTGAGATGGAGAACATTTTGCATAATTTTGAGACAGTTAACAACTCCTTGTCCATAATTACATCTATTTTTTCTGGAACTACAAATCATTGGAATTATTACAATTTGCAATACAGGTAGTCCCCGACCCAAAGGTGCTTTTTCAGGAGGTAACTGGACTTTGTTTTTTTCTTTTGAAGACATTTTGCTTCTTATCCAAGAAGCTTCTTCAGCTCTGGCAGGATGGTGGGGAATGGAAGGATTTATATTCCTTGCAGACAGCTGGACA